GGATTGAAGGCTTTAAAGAGCTGAGGGGGGTGTCTGCAGCACTCAATGGTGTGGGGCTGAGTTTGATGGACTTTGCTGTCCCTGAGGGGCTGGTGCTGAGACCATTGAAGAAGGGTGAGTACAGAATACCTGCAGAAAAGGAAGGGTACTTCCTCATCTTCGACAGTGCCACCAACAGCTTAGTGCCAGAAATTCCTGATGGCATCTCTTTGGGCAGGGTACCTGCACTGGTCTCTGTGAGCGACCAGGGGCCCATCAATCTTTCTGCCCTCAACTTCTTGCAGTACTCTCAAGAAGCCTTGTTGATCTCAGTGCAATTCGATCCCTTCCACAGAGGGTGGAATGACCTCAAGAATGCACTGAAAAGGGCAGAGTGCAAAGCCTGGAAGGTGGTCTTGCAACTGACCCTGGTTGCTAACCTACCATATGGCCCATTTGGAACTTCTGCATGGTACTACAAGAAAAGGGCAAAAGTGGAGGAATTTTTGGGCACCAGGGACATTCATGCAGAGTGCTGGCAGACCTATCAACATTTAATTGCCCTGGAGAAGAGAATTCAGGAGCCCAGAACTGAGGAAGATCAGTGGAAGCTCTTCCATTCCTTGAGGACCATGCCTTCGGTTGTCGAGAAGGGACCACTCATCAAGTTGATGAGATGGTTTAGCTTCTTCGAGTCGATGTGCTTTATGGAAGGACAGTTTTGGTGCACAAAGATGATCCTGGAGGAAAAGGTCGGTGGCCAGCCTGATAATGAAGATGAGTCTGGAGGAGAGGAAAAGGCTGAGAGGCAAAATGACCCAGCCAAGGAATTACAGGAGCTGAAAAAGAGGAAGGGCACCTGGAAGTTAGCTCCTTCACTCATTACAGACAGGACCCTTGCCATCAAGGACTGCATCATGTCCATTGGCAAAGCTGTGTGGAAAACACATGCTGGAAGAGCAAGAGAGGTCAAGACTCCATTGCAAGTCCAGCAGCTGCACATTTCCTGTGCACAACACAGATTTTGGGCAGCTGAGTTGGAAGATTTGGTGACTGCCAGCTTGTGGGACACCAGAACACTGGACCATCTTCTGCCAGAGTACAGGGGACATGCAGATGTGATGGAGTACCACACAGACATGTTCCACAAAGTGCTGGAAACCAGGGCTCAGTCTTTGGTGGCCTTTCATGAGCTCCCTCCCTGCTGCTTCTTCCACTCCTTGGCAAAAAATGAAGCTGTGTCAGTGGAAGCCTGCAGCCAGGCCATCAATCTGTGGAATGTGCTCCTGGAAGTTGAGGCTGCCCATCTGCAGGGGGCAGACATCAAGCCACTCCAACTTCTTCACTGGAGGCGCAGCCCATTGACCAGGTGCATCCTCATGGCTTTTGAGCAAGACAGACTGTTGGGGTGGGAAGGAACTGCCCATAGTCAATCGAAGCCCCTACAGACTTTGCTGAGCAAGCACCTGGGTGATTCCAGGGTCATCGAAGTCGCCCACCAATCAGCAAAGGATGTCATCAGGTCATCGAAGGCAAACACATTCACCAACACAGCCATAATGCAGCAAGTCCTGAACAGCACTGCTCTTTCCTCCAGAAAAATCGACCAGGTGAAAGTGTCACCAGGCAGCAAGGTGCAAGCTGAGTCACAAAGACACAAACAGGAGACTGTGTCCAAGATGATGAAAGCTTCCACACACACTTTGCCCAAGAAGATCCAGGATCTGATGCAGCCTACCCAAAGCTGGCCTTCCCCAAGCCCAGCAGGCCTGTTCCAAAGCGCAGCAGCAACCCAGTGGATCAGGCATTTCTGGAACCAGAGTGCACCTGCAGCAGAGGACATCAACAGGGCATGGTTGTCTGTCCTGACCTTGCCAGGATCCACCATTGCAAACTCAGTGACATCGACAGTGCTCAAGGTTGTGGCTACTGCAGAGTATGGGTTCCTGGCCTGGGCTATGAGCCTCAAAGTCCTTGAGAATGGTGACAGGGTGTTTGTTCTCATGCCAGATCGAAAGCACTTGCAGTGGCACCACATAACAGACCTGGAGTCATGGGTGTATTTGCCCTGCAAACCTACCCTCATCAATGACATCCAAGGACCTTTGGGGTGGAAAGTCGAAGGGGCCCCCATGCCTTTGGAACAGGCTGTGGTGATGAAGGGGATGCCAATCACTGTCCAACAAATGATGGACCTGGTGAAGTATATGGGGGGTAGCCTCCCAAGCAAGAGTAAGCCCAGCAGGAAGGCAATGGAGGAACTATTGATGAAGAGTGTGTTCCAGCCTGAGAATGTTCATGCTGCCCAAGAGGAATTCTCCAGGATGAAAAACAAGAAAGTAGAAGAGACCAAATATGAGATAGACTCTGACTTTTCTGAGCTTCTGTCAGAGCTGGGCCAAGATGATGCAAACACACAAGACCTTAAGGACTTGAAAAGCAAGAGGAGGCAACAAAGGGTAGCAAGGAAAATGAAGAAGGATGATGTGCCTCTCAAGGAGGACAAGCCCAAGAGGGGTAGGGGGAGAGGTCGAGGCAAAGGTCGAGGAAGGGGCAGGAGTGCAGGCAAAGGGAAGCCTGAAGAAGAGGAGACAAACCCACCCCAGAAGAAGAGGAAGAACTTTGTTGAGAAGCTGCTTGAGGCAGCCAGGAAAAAATTGAGGACACATGATGGGGAAACCAAGCACACTGGACAGGAGGAGGTGAGTGACAAGAAGGAGCCAGCACCACCTGGAACAAGTGTCTTTGATGAACCTGAGCGCAACCCTGGTGGGGCATCATCGTCCTCAAAAGCACCCCCACCAGCACCAGCCAAGACTGAGGGTGGAGTACCAGCACCAAGAACACCATCGGTCAAGGTCTACAAAAGTCCAGAGGACATCTTGAGCCACATTGCTCCCCCTGGCTGCACCTTTGGCTTGAGCCACTATGACCACAGGTTCACTTCAAGGTTCGCTGTGGAATCAGAGAAGTTCCTGCCACCCTTCCACACCAAGACCATGACTGCAGCATTCTTCAGGATGAGGACTTGGCAGGACGCTTTAAGGACAGTGCATGAACATAATTGGAAAAAATGGGGCCTGGTGAAGGAAGAGAACCCATTGCCACCAGGGAAGGTGGAACAGGTTCCTGGTGATGTACCACAATGGGTGTTTGAGGCCCTGCAGCCTGCAATAGACAAGCTGCCAGAGGTGAGGAGGTACACCAAATGATGAAGCATCACTGTCTGAGTCACTCTGAACATGTAAATAGCATTCATTGGTGCTGGAGGCCACCTCTAAGAGGTGGAGGCAGACCCATTTGAAGATTTGAAGGGCTCATTTGAAATGCACATTTGAAGAGCTCATGTGTGAGATGGCCAAACCCATGCCTGGAAAACAAGTAGTGCTTGAATATTGAATGCTGCCAGTGCTTGGAGACTACTTTGAATAGCAGTCAGTATGTGCTTACTCTTGTGGAGGGGGGTTGCCCAGGTGTGGTGCTGGCCCACAGGTGATCCCAGCCTGCTGCTTGGTGGCTGCCACTAAATCAATTAATTGGGGGTGGGGGGTTTGGAGACTTGGCCTGTTTATTAGAAAAAGGAAGCCTGGGAGGGCCCATTGGTGTGGGCCCTTGCTTGGCACCAGGAAGTGCCTGAAGAATGCCTTTCATTGTTTGAGTTTGGCTAAGCATGGTCCTTGCAGCTGCTTTGATTAGCACCAAGTAAGTACTTACTTGGGCTGATTTGCTTGATAGCACAAGGGAATGCAACCTTGAGAAGCCTTGGGCTGATGCCCTTGCAAGTTGTTTGATTAGCACCAGGGAATGAATGCATGCATGGCATGGTGGGGGAATGCTTTTGACATGTCTTTGGGCTGATTTGCTTGATTAGCACAAGGGAGTGCGTTTTGCACTTGATCTGTGGACTTTAGTGCCTTTGATCTGTGGCCTTTAGTGCCTTTGATCTGTGGTCTTCTTTGTTTGCCTTTGATCTGTGTCCCAAAGACTTTACAAGAGAGTGCCTGGTGAAGGCACTGTGCCTTGGGCTGTCAAAAGGCATAAACTTTTAGGCTTGTCAGGCCTTCTTGACCAACCCAGCCTCTGCCCCTTGGTGTTTGGCAATGGTTTGTTTTAATATATGTTTTTTTTCACACTGTTTAGCCCCTGGCAACTTCAGGAGGAGCAAAACCTGTGACATGAGGGACTTGTGCAACTAACTGTTCAGTGATGAGTCACTCACTGTTTTTTGTAACTTATGATGGCACATGATCTTTTTAAGACTGAGGTTTCTTGTGTGGACTGAGGGTTGTTTGAGGTGTGTTTGCTTGAGAGTTGTGCCATACTCCCTGTCAGGTGGATCAATATAAATGGCCACAAGGGCCTTACACCAGAGCTCAGTCAGTGAAAAATGGAGCTCCAATGCTGCTGTTGGGGAAGACATGTGTTTTAGTGTTTTTTATGTGATTTTTTCAGGTTTTGATGGGAGTTCATTAGGTTATGTTGGGTTTATGTTTGTTTCCTGAAGGATTCTGTTTGTAAGTCACTTGAGTGAAGCGATGCTCTATGAAGAGGGTATGGATGTGGCACATTGATATAAGTGGACACATGATGATCAACGGCCCGAATCAATGGCTGTACATTGCAGTGCGGTGATCCATGATTAGCTTGGGGCAGCCCGAGACCCAAAAGTGCACACCTCACGTTGGCTCCCACAAGCACATTGAAGAGCCAATAGAGCCTGTGAAAAGTTTGCGATACTGTGAGTACTTGTACATCAAACCTTGGAACATACAATCTTGGTCAAACAGAAACTGACAAACAAACGCACATTCCCCCCCAGAGGCCATTCTGGGTTGTTGGACATTGATGTACGACCCACCTTTCAAGAGTCTCGTGGAAACTGAAGCAGACATTTTTAGATGTTACTGCGACATTTGTGGCAATATAAACCCTATATATCCTTATAACTTCCGTGGAGATGTGTACAGTGTTTGGGTTCTGTGCCGTCCTAGTTGGACTTCACCATTTGCAAGTCTTGACAGGCTTAACGAGACATGTGGCCAGCGCCCACAGAATCTGGGCACGCCTATGGCCAGGCGATGGACAATTTGCACTTTCTACCCCGAGGGCAATGAGCCGTGCTTGCTACTGTTTCCTCATCTTTCTTCCCTTTCCTCCGCTCGGATTCCACCGGTTTGAAAGTTTGCCTTGCCGTGCAGGGAATGGCAGACGGTGCGCTTGAAGCCATGCCCAGCCGGAGAGCATCGGATTAACTATACAGGCCTGAAGTGACAAAGAATCAGCCTTTTCGCTCCACATCCTTGTGGCGACGGCAGGTTCGGAGTGCCTGCAATGTCAACCAGGCAAATTCAAGAGAGCCTCAACTGCAGAGAACGACTGTGCTGGGACGAACTGAGAATCTGTTCTCACTCCAAGTCCGAATTGTCCGGCAGGTTTTCAGATGTCGTTTACACATGTTTACACCGCTTTGTTACCAGTTGCTGTGTGATAAGTGTTTTATGGCGCTTTCGTTTGGATTTGAGGAACCCCAAGTCTGAGGCGGTGTGGGGCCTGCTTTGCTTTGCGACTTGTGCGACCAGCGCTCCTGGATGGGGCTTGCTGGTGCAGGAGCCAAATTGATTTGCAAACGCAACTCGAAGGTTCAAAATTTGTTCCGGTTGTATGTTAGAACTCATGAGAATCTTTGCCAGTTCGTGAAGCCATAGCGCCAATCCAGTTTGCTCCCCAGTGGGTCAGGTTGTTTAAAATTCGAAGTGCATGCAAAGCAGGGTGTCGACAGCTGGCTTTGTGCCCAAGTGGGCAACAGTAACAGGATTACTTTGCTACGCGAAACATTCCCATGTTTCTTCAAAGACGCTTGCGATGTGTCTGATGGTCCTTCAGAGAGATGCTCTTGGCAACTAATTGGCTATTTCTATGTCTCAAAGAGAAGACATGAAGAGAAAAAGCAAACAATTTTTTCCAGCATATTCCAGCGTAGACCGGGGAAGAAAACCGGCCGTTTTTGTCGCACACGTCACAAAGGTTTGTCTAGCTTCGCTCCGAAAGAATGCCACGAAAGAAGCATGTCTCACACCCATTTGGAAGCCTTAAAGGCTTCCAAGGAAACGCAACGGAAAGTCAGTGTCGGAAAGTCGGCCGGTTGGAACTTCCACCCACCCCGGTTGGACCACTTTCACCCCCAAGCAACCCACAATCAGAGACAGCAGACAAGCGCAGAAACCCCGACCAGTTCGAGAACAAAAAGAACAAAAGGACACTAATTACGTCGCAATTCAGCGTGAACTAGAGATCGGCTCCAAAAACACACAAACTGTGACTAGGGCAATGAAGGCTGCGGCACTTGCCGCGTTTTGCTCCTCTTTGTGGCTTGGCAGGAGCCTGCACTGTCTGCCCCCAGAACGAGGCAACAGGCTTCTTTGGCGCTACGGAGATCGCAGACTGCGACTGCCAGGATGGCTACTATCGTTTGGGGGACAACACAACAGTGCTTCGGCCGGGTTTTGGCATATTCAAATGTAATGCGCTCTATTTGCCAAGAGGTATTGCTGTAATTGTATTGATAGAAATAATCAGCGAAAGAGAAGGAATGCGGCTGGGGTTTTCAAATCGAGTCAAGGACTGGGTGCCAATGCATGCTCATTTTAGCTCATCCTGAAAAGAGAGAATGATGGACGCTTAAAGGTTGTAGGACGAATGAAATGATGCTAATGTTTGCAAGGGTTGCATAGTCTATCCTCTATTCAAGGATTGTTGCTAACACTTTGCTCACTTGTTTTTCCTGTTGCCAGGGGAAGAATTGTGCGCTTCATTCTCTGAGACAGGGTCCAGTACCCACAGGGTGCGTTTTGAGGTGCTTTAACTCCCCCAAAAGAGTCTCACTGTGAATGCTCGGCTATCATTTCAAAACTCGACTCCTCTCTCGTCTTCTCGACTACTCCGGAATTTGGTCACCAAGGACTGGCGACTTGAAAGCAGCCACGGAGTCTGTGGTGTTTGTCCTACAGGAGCCATTTGCCACTTGGCGGTGGATGTTTCACTCAAGACTCAAAACAAAAGAAGAATGGTGTTAGTAGTATTTGGACATAAGAAGGGTGGAATTGAGGTAGTAATTGACGTATAAGACGTTACAGGCAGCAATTCAGGCCTTGTTTGTCATGCTGTGCAAACAAAGAGTTGATAATTACGAGTCAGAACATGTTTCATATTGTTTTCTTATGATTGGCCACCTCTTGTTGGCCTAGTCACTAGTCAACACTCAGAATCAACAATGAGAGCAAGAATCCTGCAAACTCTGATGGTGAGATGCATTTCTTGCACTACCTCACAAACCCCTAAAGCTGCAAATTCCACTGGACAATTCCGCACCACCTATGCTGCCCAAGGCACGGTGAATACCGTGATGTCCCCTATCCCAGGATTTCTTCCATCCGAACATCAGTGCAAAAACTCAAAGAGGCTTGTGCTCGGAACCCACTCTGGAGTCTAGTGTGAAAAGAACATGGAAACTGTGCACATGAATTAAGCACCATGGGACATGTCCGGCAAAGGCCTTGACCAAGACCAATCATCAACGTTCACTGTCAGACACGAAGAATTCAGCTCCAACAATGACTCCCTTAGGCAGCACTTTGCCCTCTGATTTGTTCCCATTGGGTCGCTCTCACCAGGAGAAAACGTGATGCCCTTGATCCACGTCATATTTGCAAACATCGTGCAGCAAGTTTTAATTCGATATAAGAGCTGGTTCCAGCGTGAAGATTAGAGTTGTCGAAACCAAAGCACATGCCAGTTCTGCAAGCGAGGTACTCGTACACACATTGTCATGCACGCGCCATCTGCATCAAAAACTTTCGAAGGCACCAATCACTGTCCAACACCCAGCAGTTCGGGCTGGCAAGGAGTCGGCCAGTCTGGCCAACACGATGTTTCGTCGGCGCCCCATGGCCAAGTCAATCTCGCAACGACGGCGGTTGAGCTACTAGGAGCAAGGACGCTACTAGGAACAGCGGGCATCGCTACTAGGAGCAAAGAAGCTACTAGGGGCTCCTGGCCGTACTACTAGGAGCA